GGGGCCCAGCCCATGGTGACAGGACCCAGCATGGCACAAGGTCCCCAGCCACGCCCCAGCCCCAGGACCAGCAGGACCCGGCTCAGCTCTGCACGGTCCCTGCGTGCCAGGCCAGGCCCTGCCGCTATAGGAAGGGCTCGGCCGGGCAGCAGAATGGCCCCAAGAGTGACAGGACCTGGCTGGGCCCGGCACGTGGGGACCACACCGGGCCGGGTCTTGCCACTATAGGGCAGCATGAACAGCCCAGGGCCTGCAGGACCTGGCTCAGCTCTGCAGTCCCCAGGCTGCTCGTGCTGCCCGGCTCAGCTCACGGGCTGGGGGCGGAGCCGGATCCTGCCGGCCCTGGAGCTGCTTATGCTGCCTGGCCTGGCTCAGTGCATGGGGACTGCGCGGAGCCGAGCCGGGTGGCATGAGCAGCCCCAGGGTCAGCAGGACCTGACTCGGCTCCATTTGGTCTCCGTGTGCTGGGCCAGGTCCTGCCGCTATAGGAAGGGCCCAGCCGGGTGGCAGAGTGGCCCCAAGGGCAACAGGACCCAGCTGGGCCCAGCACATGGGGACCACATGCCACGCCAGGTCTTGTTGCCATGGGCCTGGCCTGGCCGTGGGGCAGAGAGGCCCCAGAACCCGGCTGGGTCCTGCCATCATGAGACCGGCCCGGCTGGGGGACAGGAGGAGCCCCAGGGCCGGCAGGACCCAGCTGGGCTTGGTGCACGGTCCCCCCACTGCTGCTGTAAAAGGTCAGGTATGGGCCCTGGGTGGGTGGGCTGGGGTCCTTCAGGGTGGAGCTGGGACCCTGGGGGGCGGGCCTCCAGGGTGCCTGGGACCCTGGGCAGGGGGCTCGGGCCCTTTGGGGGATGGGGGCTGTGGCCCTCCAGGGGCGAGCTGGGACCCTGGGCAGGGGGGAGGGGGGACTGCACCCTGTGGGGGCCAGGGGACCCACCCTTCCTGTGCAGCCCCCTCACAAGGGCCCCCACACCCACCGTCCCCCCAGCAATTGCCCCACACCTACCCAGAAACCAACCTACATCCCTCCACACACACCTACCTGCCTTCCCCCACACCCCTTCTCACCCATTTCCTGCAAACACCACATCCCCCCATCACACACCCATCACATGTGAAGAAAACCAAAAGCACACATGAACACAGAGGTATTTAGAATTTATTTTATCATGATGATAGAGATACTGGTAGGCTTCAAACTGCTTTAACATTGTAAATATACCAATAAAGCATTACTCAACTGAACGCCGTCTTTAACTGTAGAAGAACATGGATTTTGGGGTACTTTTAAAAATGGATTTGGGATGCTGCAGCAGCAGTCCAGCTGGCACAAGGGGTAGTGTCCCCAGGTACCAATTGGCTGGGCCCCAGAAGCTCTTGAAAGCAAGTAGCCCTGAACTGCTTGCCAAGGCATCTTTTTGTATGGACGGGGCCAAGACAGGGCAGCTTTTTATACTGCTGGGGACAGCACAGGTGCTGGCCCCAGGCTCTAGCTCCGCCTGGCTGCAGACCTAGGAGCCAGGCAGGGTTATTTTGCCCCAAGTGGCACAATTTGCTCCAGAGACAAAGTGCATGTCTGAGTATGTGCGCTGAGGCAAAAAGCCCGGCTCAAATTTGCACCACTTCTATTTGAGCTGCTGCAAACACACATGCTTGCATGTGTGGACGTGCCCGTAGAGGCCAGAGCCAGTAGGTGCTCTGTGCCCCCGGCCAGAGCAGGGTCAGAGCTGGACTTGGGGTAAACAGCAGCTGAGAAGATACCAAGCTGGAAGAGGGGGAAGTGGCGAGGATCAGGCTGCTTCACTCCTCCATCACCTGCATCTATTGCAGCAGGGGGAGGGGAGACCCACACAAATTTAACACAACTCTCCAATAATTTGATTCTATACACAATTACAACAAATTTCTATGCATAGAAGCTAATTATTGGGGTTCATCTTAAATTCAAAGTCATCTTGAATTCAGGTAAATACTGTAAGTCAATAAGAGACCGTAAAAACTAGTTCTCAGAACATAGTAGTAAAATGCAAGAAATATGAAATACATTGAAAGTTATTTAAAAAGAAATCAACACTAAGAAGTCAGTAGGACTTTTAAAGTATCTTAATTCTTTAAAAAAAAAAAAAAGACTTTCGATGAAAGAAAAAGATAATCTATTTACATATTACCCTTGTAATGTTTGAGTGTTCATGCCTTTGCTATTCCAGGTATAAACTGTTTATTCCCCATTTAAGTGTTTTGTGATATGTTAGGTTAACAAAGGTATACTATTATACCAGCCATGTAAAGTCTACTTCAAATCATGACAACATCAAAAAAGGGGGGACTTCCCTGATGCCTTTGTATATAAAAGCCAACACATCTCATAAACCAGGGGTGTTCAACCTCCAGCCCATGGGCTGAACCCAGCCTGTGGAGCCACAGCATTCAGACTTTGGGGCTCAACACAGGTTGGAATATTTGCTGGTGGGGGAGCAGTGGCAAGAGATATTGCCACCCCTGTCCTGCTACCAAATTCCCAAGCCCATGTGAGGCCATATGGGGGCCAGGCCACCCCCTCTTTCCCCTTACACAGTATCAGATCAGAGCCAGGCCATGATCCCGCACATGGTGCTGGATGCAGACCAGACTACATCTCTACCCACCATGCAGCCCAATAGGTACTGGGCTGCTCTCGAACCCTCCCATGTGGCTAGATTGGGTCTTGCCTCAAGTGCTGGATCAGTCTAGCAGATTAATTGAGCACTGTCCATCTAGCCCAAGAAAGAAAAAGGTTGGGTACCACTGTCATGATAAGATTAAGTCTTTGTAAAAAGTCAAGCATTTTGACTGAAACAGAAACAGTAATAAGTAACAACAACTTGGGATAATTTAAAGTATTCTTACAGAAATCAAACATGATTAATTTCAGATTGTGCTTCAAGTCTGAACTGATATCTCATTTTTAAGATTTCCAATTCCAGAGTTCAGACTAGATTTTATTTAAAATAGTGTAGGAGAACATTTTATATTAGTAAATGATTAAAATGGAAAGTCCCCTTGCAATATTATATTCATGAATCAATCTCCCTTGTCCCACGTCAAAAGGAAAATGAAGTTAACATAAAAAAAAAAAAAAAAGCTTATGTAGTTATCTGGTGCAAGCACTGACGTGATCATGAAAAAAAGCTCAATGCTGCATATTGTTACGCACAAGCCTTTTCAAGTATTGCTACAGTCCTAGCATATGTGGCAATGTTTGACAGAACAAGGGTTAAATAGAAAGGCTAGCTATCTACCCTAATCTAGAATTATTTCAATAAAAATTTTAAAAAATAATTTAGTATATTTTGCAATATTTTATGTAATTTTACACTCGTCTATGCAGAACCCATTTCAAGCTCAAGAATTCTTCACAGATCATTCAAGCAATTAAAATGGTCATTTTTTCTTCCTTCTCCCTGAAGCCACATTTGCTTTGCACAACTTGACATTTTACTGACATATTTTGTGATCAAACTTTAAAAGGATTACACAGATACGTGTGAAAAAAGAATATAAGCAACCTTTCCTGTATGTCAAGGGTGTCAAACATCTGACTCATGGGCAGAATCTGGCCCACAGAGCTGCTCCATCTAGCCTGCTAGGGTGCCGGCAGGCTAGGGATGTTGTTGTGGCTAGGGGTGAGAGCATGGCATGCTGGAGAATTCAGGGACTCTGGTCCCCATGGACATGGCTCTCAACAGCCACTTGGCCTATTGCTAGTGCTGCAACAAGTGGCTGCTTGCTCTACTGCCTCTCCTGCCAGCCCCACCACTGCTGCCACCCCACCGCAGCCAACTCATGGCCAGATTTGACTCAGGACCTGGGGCAAGTTTCATATCTTTGCTGTAAATGCACATTCCCCTCTGCCAGCCACCATAAATTTCTTTTGAGTCTAAGCACTGACTGGGGTCAGTGCTGTGAATTTTCTTGCAGAATCTGAGCCAATCACTTCATTAGTTATCCTCCCCCCTTAAAGTCAACCTGCAGTGAAAGTTATTTTAAAATTAATTCGATCTTCATGAAAATGAACTCAAACTGCAGAACCATATAGTTCTTGGAATATACAAATACCTCTGCTACTGCTGAGAATGTTAATAAAACAACTTTGCACAACCTATGACCCAAAGCTGGTGCAAATGCTAGCTGATTTCATCCATAGATACTCAGTACTTTTAGACTATTTATATGAAATTTAATAACATATTTTAATAAGAGATATAAATCAGACTACTTTAGAAAGAATACAACCAGAGCTCTAACTGCATACTCAGCATGATTACACAGATCAAAGTACAAAACTATGAATATTAATAAAACCCCAAAAAACAAAAAACAAACAAAAAAACAGTTGTTAAATCAAATACATTGATTTGCAATACCAGTTTTGAAAATTTGATGAGCAGCACCAGATATATACCATATTTTTCTGGCACATAAGATGCAACCCCAAAAAGATACAATTATAGAAAAGTTAAACATAAATATGATTGAATTTTGGGCAGCTTTTATTATAATGACAATTATTTGTTATATAAAACTTTGTCTTTATACTTTATAAAAACTTTAGAACTTTTTCAGGAAAGAAACCAGGTCTTATGCAATGAAAAATACAATAAGCCAAAAAATGCAAGTCTAAAAATAGCTTTCTAAAGTAAACCTAGGACCATATATCCACTTATGGCCTATCACTAGTTTGAGACTACAGGAGGTTTGAGATATTTTTTTACAACTACTTGACTCCATAACACGCCTTTCAACCGTTGCAGATGTTCTTTTCTTGTGATACAGATGTAGCTTTTGTTTGGTTTCTCTTGTTTGCGTGATAGGTTTACCTGTGATGTTTCTGCTCATGATCGGCAAAGCAGCCCCCTGCCCCCACAAAAAAAAGTCATTTAACTTGTGCTCCCTCTTTTGGATTTGCATGCAGAGCACAAATCACAGCAGATCACAGAAAAATGAATGATCCTCAGAAGACAATCTAGAACATTTAGAAATGTAAGGTCCCATGTGTTTTGGAAGTGGCCAATTAAAAGCATTACCAAACTTTTAATAATTTTTAATGAAGTACTGAATCTGATAGCTATGTTTGAAAGTCTAATCATTATCAAGTATTTCCATCTTTTGGAACAGGATTAATGAAAATGGCACAGGAAGAATGGAAATGGCCCTACAGTGAGATTTTATTAAATAAACAAAAATAATTTTGGAAGATGGGGGCAGCAATGCTTGCTGGGTTGATGTGATGTATAAGAGTCAGAAGGGAGAAATGGTTTATGTCCTTTGACTATTTTCACTATTTTTATCATTTGGCATTAGGAAGAACTTGAGATCTTTCAAGGCCTCCCATGAAAGAGACAAGAGACACAACCCAGTATAGCAGTGACTAGGGTACTCAGCAGGAGTAAACCTGTATCTCTCCTACATCCTAGGTGTGTGCTGGATCTCTCTCTCAAAGTTTCTTCAGGGACCTAAGAAACCCTTCCTCATGCAAGTTTCACCAAAGCTTATGTTTTTGGAAGAGTTAAAAAAAAAAAAAAAAAAAATCCATATCCCTGACTTAAGACCCTTCCTTTTCCACATTTATTCCAGAAACTCCCAACCAGCTTTAGTGAGGTGTTACATTAAGAAATTAAACTGTTTTAGTACTGATAATCTCAATTTATATTTTTGTAAATCAGAGACCCCCGCCCCCCAATGCGTTACTGCAACTTGCTGTTCATTTTACCTGTTGCACCTTCCTGTTTTTTTTTTTAAACTTAGTAAGCTACTTTAGTAAGGTATCTAGGGGAAGCTTTTCATAATCTGATTAAGCTCAGGATAGTGCCTTGCGGAACAAGATCACGTCTCATTGCCTACAATGACCAACGCTCCCTCTAAGGCATAGCGGTCCCTGAGCATGCTGCTTTGGTCAGTGAGTGTGCTACTTCAGACCCGCCTCCTCATTTCGGTACAGTCTGCCAGTAAGTGTCTCACAGTAAGTGTTCAGGTGGGAGCGGCCAGGGTTTGGCCACCACCCTTCTCCATGCTAACTGCTGCCCAGAGCAGTGTAGTGGAGTGCTGTGGGGCAGCCATGGGCCAGACACAATCAATTGATAGATGGCAATACAACCCTTGTCCTAGCTCTGAGCTTGCCAAACTTGTGAACCCTTCCTAGTGCAAGGGAGATGCACCCTAATGCAGTCAAGAGCCATGGGATGCACAGCTTGCAAATGTGTGTGTGTTCCCTAGGGCAGCAACCTGGGCGCAGAGCCACCGCTCCAACAGTCACTTGCTGTTTAAATGCCTTCTTGGGATAAATCATCAGTAAGAACAGAAAAAAACAGAAAATCACCCAGCAGAGACAAAGTGTGCTCACTCTCTTTAAACCACCAAGTTTTTTGCAAAAAAATTTCGTTAATAAAAGATATCATCCCCAATTGATTGAACTGAAAGGGCGGCGTGGGACACTTAACAAAGGTAAGCTCCTTGCTCCTCATACGGGGCAGGCAGTGGCTCCTCCTCGAGGTGAGGCAAGGCAGGGATTGGGGTGGGGGCTAGGGCTGGCATGGGCTCTGCTGGCTCCCGGGAACTGTTCCACTCCCCAGCCCCGATGCCATGTGCCTCTTTGCTCCCCAAGGCGATGCGGGGGAGCAGAGGGGTTCCCCGGAGCGGTGGAGCCCCGCGCCAGCTTCCGCCTCGCCTCGGGGAGGAGGCGCTGCCTGCCCTGCACGAGGAGTGAGGAGCTTATCTTTGGTAAGTATCCCATGCCGGCCCTGGTGCCTCTGCTGCACTCCGCACCCAGCTCCTCTCTGAGCAGTTCACGGCATTAAAAAAAAAATCTTGCTGCGCACCAGCTTTTTATTGTGTGGGGCCGGGCAGACACGCAGCTTAGAGGGAAACTTGATGAGGACTCTGCCAGTCACCTGTAACCTGCAGTACAATCTGCAAGTCCCCCAATAAAACCAAGCTCTTAATACAGTACATCAGTCATTTTCAAACTGTTACACAGGAGTTCTGCAATAAGCCATTAATGGTTCCACAAAGAAACTGGGGGTAATGGTGGCCACCAATGCAGTGATGGGTCACCCGACTCCACATTCACTCACACAGGGCCCAAGCACAGGGTTTTCAAAGCAGAAGTGATATGAAAGAGTTCTATGACTTGGGGGGAGTAGTAGATATGGTGGAGGATAGGGCTATATTCAGAAAGACCTAAACAGATGGAGGATTGGACCAAAAGAAATCTTATGAGGTTCAATAAAGACAAGTGCCAAGTCCTGCACTTGGGATGGTATAGGCTGGGGAGCAACTGGCTAAGCAGCAGTTCTGCAGAAAAGGACTTGGGTGTTACAGTGGACATTAAGCTGAATATGAGCCAACACTGTGCCCTTGTTGCCAAGAAGGCTAACAGTATACTGGGCTGCATTAGCAGGAGAGCTGCCAACAGATCAAGAGAAGTGATTCTTCCTCTCTGTTCGGCACTGGTGAGGCCACATCTGGAGTCCAGTGTCCAGTTTTGGGCCCCCCATTACAGAAAGGATGTGGGTAAATTGGAGATAGTCCAGGAAAGGGCAATGCAAATCATCAGGGGCCTCGGGGATGATTTACAAGAAGGGGCTGAGGAAACTGGGCTTATTTAGTCTGAAGAAGAGAAGACTGATGGGATTTAAAAGCAGACTTCAGCCACCTGAAGGGTGGTTACAAAGAGGATGGAGCTAAACTGTTCTCAGTGGTGGCAGATGACAGAACAAGGAGCAATGGTTTCAAGTTGCAGTAAGGGAAGTTTAGATAAGCTATTAAGAAAAACTCTCTCACTAGGAGGGAAGTAAAGCACTAGAACAGGTTACCCAGACAGGTTGTGGAATTTCTATCCTTGGAAGTTTTTAAGCCTGGCTGGAATAATACAGTTTGGGATGGTCTTGCTTTGTGCAGGGGGTCAGACTAGATGACCTCCTGAGGTCCCTTCCAACCCTAATTTTCTATGATTACAAATCCTGGGCAAAAGTTAATTATCTAACTACTATTTTCCAACATACATAAAAGTAAAAAGTTGCATAACTGCTTAACTAACTATATTGTCACATCCTAGTTAAAAAGAAAGACATACCAAATCTAGTGGAAAAATTGCTTAATTCTAAACCTACATGTTTTAGTAGTTTTATCTGCCCATGATAAAATAGCTGAAATATATAAACCAATTAAAATAAATTATTTAAATAAAGACTTTCCATTTGATTATTTAAATTGCCCGATTTAAAAATCAATTTACCCTGTTGTAGAAAATCTGCATGACTAGGGATGAAAATGTACAGCACACATTTGATAATATCAGTTTTACTTCTACAAAAGTGAATTCACCTAGCAGAGATCTGTCAAGAGTTTTTTTGTGAGGAAAAGATCAGAACAAACTGTGAGCATGGTAGAAGTATTGGGCAGGGACAAGGAAATGTCTGAGCATGTGTACTGAGCATTTCCTTCCCATTATTATTCCTAAAAAAGAACAGACAAAACATATAGAAAGAATATTATTTTCAAAGATTTACAATGATTAAGGAATCCATTTTAAAAAAAGAGGAAAACTATTTGGACTTTGACAAGTCAAGCAATTCGAACAGGGAATTTATCACAGGCAAGGGAACTCAGAAGAGCTGAGCAGTGCTGGGTTAAGTAATTATTAGAGGGAATGCAGGAAATGCTGCCTGTATTTAGGGTTGACATTTCATTCTGACACACTATTGGCAAATAAATAAAGCAACTGAAAACAAGCCATTTGGGCTTCTATATTTTATGCTGGGTATTTGTTACAGGCTGATCCTTTTTTTTTTGTTTTTAGAGTTTCAGGTTTCTGAGAATGAGGATACAGAAAAACAAGTTTCCTCAAGTTAAAATTGTTATAGTAAATTAATTGAGAAACTTTATCACCACCAACTTTGAAGCTAGGATTTGAAATTTGACAGAAGGGTCACCCCAGGACCAGAAATATACATTCTACCACACCTGTGAAAATTCACCCAAATCTGACCAATTAACAAACCCCTGAAAAAAAGAGTAAAAAAGCCCTAACTTTGCACATGTTCAAGATACTTTTTCTCCTACCTACACTGCTCATGCTTCACCCTTACAAAGCCTGTGTCCCACCATCCTTATAGTGACCAAGTGTGCTCCAACATATGGCTGCCAGTGATGAGCAGGCCTGCCCTTATCACTACTCTTTCTAGCTGCTGTGATGCTAGATACAGTTAAACACAGTAAACCTTTGACAATTCACATTGCCTCATTGTGAATCTCTTGCTAATAACATATCCAGTGCATAAAAGCAAACCAGTATCATATATCACAAAGTAGACTTTGCTTTAATAACCACATCCAAGAATAAGGAGATTCTTTCATGTCCCTCTCTAGAAAGAATAACATAAGGACATAAAAAGTGCCATAATGGGCCAGACCAATGGTCCATCTAGCCCAGTATCCTGTCTCTAATAGCTAAAAAGAAGGAAAGAAATGTATGGGAGGTGGGGGGAACAGAGAGGGAAGAAGGGGAAACGTAAATAAAAACCATCATGATATGCAACTACAAGGAGACCACAGTTAGGTTTCAAGCGTAATGTTAATTTTCAGCTTTTTAAAAATGTTGAGTGCTACCCTTGTAAATTCAATCCCAAAGTAATTTACAACAATGTCATACTTTAGAGAACTATGGGTGCTCTTAGTGTACTCCATTTAACTAAATAGCCTTGTGACTGAAAAGAAAACAAAGCATTGGCCCCATTCAATATCATCAATTGTCATTAAATACAACGTACTGTGTTTTGGAGAGGGCCTATGTCTTTAATAGCAGCATTGACACTGATAGGAACCAGTCATTTCATGGC